CGGGTGGTGGGTGGTGAGTGGCCGATGGCGGGTGGTGGTGGTGGGTTGGTGGGTGACGGTGGCGGGTGGTGTGTGGTAGCGAGTGGGTAGTGGTGGTGATGGTGGCGGGTGGTGGGTGGTGGTGGTAGGTGGGTTGGTGATGGCGGGTGGTGGCTGGTATGGGTAGTGGTGGCGAGGGTGGTGGTGGAGGGTGGGGGGTGGGTGGTGGTGGCGGAAGACGGTGGTGGAAACTGGTGGCGGGTGGTGGTTAGTGTTGGGTGGTAAAAAAAAAAAAACTCAAAACTCAAAACAGAAACATAGTTTTTGTGTCTTCATGTTTTTGCCAAATTTATAAACTGAGATTTCTGATTTATAAATCAAAAATTTTACCAAATAAGTTTTTATTTGAGTTTTTTTAATTTTTGTAAATATAAATAGAAAACTGAAAACGTAAGTGTTACCAAACGGCACCTAAATATCTGAATTTAGGGGTTGTTTGGGATGTTCTAAATAAGTGCACTTTTTGACTTTTTATGAAATATGGGTTGAGTATGGATTGGGTTTGAAGTGATGTGGTAGAGAGGTGATGTAAATTAAATAAAATGATGTGACTTAAATAGGATAATGACTTTTTGACTTTTTTAGGGGATGACAAACAAGGTCTTAGTTGTTTCAATTCTTCATGTTACCTGTGGTTACAAGGATCACTATTCTTACAAACCAAACCATATACAATGTGAACTCCTATTTATGTAGAGTTTAATCAATATGTTTTGGTCTAGGATGATAGAAAGTCAATCAATTAATTCTCTAAAGTAATATATTTTAATTGACAAATGCCATCTAATCATAAAAGACGTGTTCCTGATTTTGACGGATCTAAATGATTCTCTATAAGATTTATTTATATGGACATTGTTGAGTTTACACTTTTTTATGAATTTTATTTATATGGTATACTATTTAACCCTAGAAAAACATACCCATGGAGGCATGCTGAATGCATTTGAAACTTTTTGACACAGGATGCGACATTTACAGTTTTTTTGATTGTGTGAATTACTTAAGAAATAAACTTATCTGGTTTTGTGAAAATCCTTAAATATGTAATTTGTCTTCATACCTTGCATATTCGGTCTTATGGCAAAAAAGATGTTCACAAGTCTATGACTCTTGCAGAAAATGGAACTATGGCTGAATTCCTCTCATTGTCATATTTGAACATCTTAACTTGTTTGCTGGGTGTGTCACTTGTCCTTAATAAACAAAGTGAGTAGATATCAATTATTTCAGGCCATTCAATGAAGGAAAAATCCTGGGTGAGTAATGTAAGGGGCACACATTTAGAAGACAGATAATACTATTTGATCAAAAGAGCAAGAATGGTAGGATATTGCAAATTTGGGAAATTTGCTCAAAGGAATTGCAATAGCAGTTCTTTCCTATATGCATATTTAAGATGTCACTACAGTAGTTATTTGCTTAAGATAACTGTAATTCTTGTTGTGCAGACGTTGTGATGCTTTGTAGTCTACTTTTACCAGGTTTGATGCTATTGTGTCAGCAGATGCATTTGAGAATTTGAAGCCTGCTCCTGATATTTTTTTGGCTGCCTCAAAGATTTTGAATGTGCCCACTGGTGAGGTATATTTGCAGATTTGTCTTCTTAGAGACAGCTATTGCAAGAGTATTTCTTACGCACCTGAAATACTTATTCTATATGACTGATATTGAAGTTGCACATTGTCTTTATCTAAGAAGCATGGTCATGGATGCGGATACTAACACCGGACATGGGACGACGATTTTCAGAAAAGTAGGACATGGACATGGTGGTGATACATAAAAAAATATATTGTTTATGTATAAAATTTTTGCTATGTATGTGAATAATAAATTGACAACAACCAACAGTAATGAAAACAAATTAACTCACCATGAAAAAACAACTCAATCTATAAACATCATTCAATTCAACATACAAAATACTGTTTTATAAATCATAAATAATTATGTCACAAATGGCAAAAGCATTTAATTTAAAAGTAAATAGATCATTCGTAAAAAATAAATAATCACAAATAAAATTTATCCTAGAGTGCATCTGGAGGTAGGACACGGGTGTTCGTGATGTGTCCCCAACATGGTAAATGAGAAAAAAGAGTAGACATGCCATGTGGCGTGTCTAACACTCATCCCGGCCTGTCTGAAGTGTGTTAGCCTATGAAACATGTCACTGGCCGGCTTTGGGGCAAAGCCCACAAAGCAGTCGCTTTGGGCCCCCCAAAAATGCCAAAAAAAAAAGCCCCAAAACTATAGTAAGTATTGTACTGGTCCAGAAAAAAAGGTCCGCTTGAGTTAAAAAGATCTAAAGTTTCTTATAAGAAGAGGCCCAATCTGAATAAAAAGCCTCAATTTATATTTGAAAGACATTTGAGATATAATTACAAACATATAATAAATTCAAAGTTTTTAACTTACCGGTTGGTTCTTGTCAGCAATAAGAATTAGAAGTATTCATCTAATATATATATATATATATATTTTTAAAAAACTAATTGAAGAACTATCATATTTCTTACCTTTTTATATATTGATAAATTTTTTATTTTATTTTTTCTATTTTTTTATTTGTTCTACAATGATGGAAAGTCTTAAATTTGTAATGTAAAATTGGGTTTCACGATACAAACTCCGTAATAGAGATGAATTCTTGTTTTTGTTTGATTAAATATTTATTTGATCATTGATTATATATATATATATTGTCTATTACGATTACATATTTTTATTATTTTTTATGTTTCCTTTCATTGATTATTTGATTTGTAATGATTGAGGATTAAGTTAGCATTATGATGATGTCAATAATTTTTGATAAACTATATCAAACATGTCACTATTCCTAGAAAGTATAATTTTGGACATGAAAAAAAAATTGAAGAAAAGAAACAAAGAATAGAAGACTTAGTTTACTTTTTATTTGGTACTCCAGCTTATATTTTAGTCTTTTTTATTATTGTAAACTTTGTCGTATATTTAAGTAAATTTTAATAGTTTTTTTGTGAGCACTATTAAATGCAAAAATTTAAAACAAAATTCGATACATAATCTTTTGGTCAAAACTTTTTTTTAAAAAATATATATGAAAGGCCCCATATTTAGGTTTCACTTTGGGCACCGGAAAAGTCAGAGCCGGTCCTGCACACGTCTGCAGTGATTAATTTGAAGTGCATGTGCTTCATAGTCTTCATTTATTGAGAAATTTTTCTCTTGGTTGACCTGCCAGCAAAAACATGAAGACTATTATTATTAATATTATTATTATTTTTCAATTGAAAAAAGTTTACAAGATCATCTCCATATAGTAGGATTTATCATGGACATACAATTAGGGAGTGTGTACCTAATGTTTCTTTTATTATAAAAAATATCCAGCTTGTTTTATACAGGAAATTTTGATGAAAAGTTAATCAGTTCAGCAGTTGGACTTCTAACATTTTGAACACTGTAGCTGATTGATCAATTTTCTGTCCGACCAACTGCAATTTTAGTAATATCAGAGTATTAATTTCGTGCATTTATTTTCCCAGTGTATTGTTATTGAAGATGCATTAGCTGGTGTGCAAGCTGCCAAAGCGGCTCAAATGAGGTAAATCTGCTGTACTACATGCATTTTATGACCTTACTTATTGTGTATTGGATATTTATGTTTAATTTCAATATAACAACATATGATTTTGAGTTGGACAATCTCTTTTTCTTGTGGATTATGTATCCACTCATCATATAAATGTTACAGTAATAATTTTCTGATTCTCTGCCCTTTTTCCATGAATTATATTTCTTTTATTTAATAGTAACAATTTTGTTCTTCTTGCAGATGTATAGCTGTTACAACAACTTTATCAGAAGAGACTCTAAAAACGGCTAGTCCATCACTTATCAGACAGGAGATAGGAAGTGTTTCACTTGATGACATTCTCAGTGGTGGCTCAGGTTGCCATAGTATGTAGTTCTACAAGTATACTGCAAATGCCTTTATGTGTACTATTAATAATCAGGATAATGAAGCTACATTTTGTGTCATTTCTGAACGATATATAAGTAAGAACTGTTTTTCGTGTCATCTGCATTCTAATTATTGGAAGTTTGTCTTTTCTTTTTTGCTGAATTTTTATTCTTCCTTGCCAATTAATTGGCTTTGTAATGACTTATAAAATAATAATAATAATAATAAAAAAAAAAATGGTTCCGTAATTGTTAGTTTGTACTTCTTGTGTGATGGCAGGGGAAGCTTACATTTCACTCTAACAGTTTGATTCTCCTACCGATTATTTACTTGGTAATGGTTAGGATTACACATTATCTGGCAAAATGAGGTCTGATGGGACAACCCATTGCAGATGAGAAGATGCAGGGGTCCCAGTTTGTTAATTCTTCTGCACAAACTTCACCAGCATTGCTCAAAGACAGAACAGAGAGTAGGTCATTCCCAGATACAAATTCTGCAAATGATATGGCCTTTTCAATTGGAGGGTAAGAGAGATTCTATGTCCAGAATAATTCAATTACTCTTGATTCAATTACTCCAGAGATTCTAGGTCATTCCCAGATACAAATTACTCTTGTTACGTTGTCAATTTGGTCAATCAATTTGGTCTTTTAAAATCTGTAGAAGGAGAATATGGAAAAGGCAATCTACATAGCAGACATTGAGATTTGAAAGTACTCCTGGTAAAATAGCACCTCGTCCACAAGATTCTAGAATTATGGTTTTTCATTGCATTTCTTGCTAGCTAGACGTTCCTCATTAGGGTTACTTGCTACCAATGAAGTTCCAAATTAATAACTTAGATGTCTATGTTCCCTTGGAGAATCCCCATAGTTATTAGACATGATAAGAACTTCCCATGCTTAACAGTGATATAATTTTGGGTGGTACTATTTCCACTCTACTTTTGTCTCCGTTGTATAAAATTACAATAATATCCTTCAGTATTGACTAATCTTTCAAACATTTACAGGCATTTGTGCAAGTGTATCAAGGGTGTTATTGGAATTTTGTATAATTAATGAAAAACAAAAAGAAGGTGTATTTGTAGAAAAGTTTAGTGGGAATAGCAATACCCATAATTTTTCATTAGTCTATATAATTAATGTGATTGTTGTTTATGAAATTAAGATGATTTATGATCTTTTGATAGGGAACGTGGTATAGTATATATTCATGCTTCTATACATAGACCATGTCCAAATATATATGGATGTAGCTAGCTAGGGAAGAGTTGAGAATGAAGTGTCCCTTGATTGATGCAAATCATCCACCACATTGATGTGGAAAATTAGTGACTTTTGCTTGGATAGATTGCAAGCCAAACTTTGAAAATTATGTGCATATGATTTGTTTTATAAAAAAAGACTCATAATTGGGAAAATGAATTGAAAATGAGAAATGATTGATTATACTTAGCTTTAAGGGGGAGCAATATATGAGAGTGAGTTGCATTCATTTGGGCCCCCACCCTAAGAATATGAAACTAATTTAATCAGTAAGATAACAGATTGGGGCTTTGCCTTTAAAAGCATGGTTGGTTAAGTTATTAAGTCATGGATGGAATGTCTCTACCATATATAGACCCTTTATTCTGTCTCCTCATGCTTTCTTTCTACTGTTAATTTTGTTGACAAATTCATTTTGGCCACCCCTATCTCCATCATTATTTAATAGTACAGTGTTATCATGAGATTGGGCTATACCTCTACTCCAAGATCTGAATTAGAAGGTATTGTATCTAAATTGTTTATTTTGGCCCCAATTCCTGGGTTTGGGAATTCTGTTGCTAGTGTGCCTCATGTTTTGAGCCTAAAAACAAATTGAGGTATAAATCCTCTCTCCCTCTCTTACTCATTCTCTGTCTGTCTCTCCCTCTCCCTCTCAATGTTTGTGTTCATGTTTTGTTTTTTTTTTGTTATCGTTGTTTTGCCTAAGGTAAGAAAGCAGACTCAGATTTGTACTGTTCCTTTGTTTTTGGGATGATGAAAATGCATTAAAAATTATTATTATCATCTAAGTTTTCTTGAATTATGTAGATGTATTTAGAATTTGTTCGTTTACTTAATTAAATATAAGAGCCATCTTCTGGAATAGAAAAATAATGTTAATGGTGAAATCTGATCCGTTATTTGCTTTTTATTAAAAAAAATTGTGGGTACGTAAATCTTTGATAGATTATGGTGTTTGGAGGCATCCCTTGGTAAGAAATTCAAATCCACTTTCTCTTCTCTCTCAATTTCCCATCCTTCCCTTCAATTTTCTCAATTCACTGCTCTGTAGTCTGTAACACAAACCAGGATTAGGGTTTTTTATTTTTATTTTTATACTTGGAATGCAATTTGATAAGTTCTTGTTTTTCTTGTTTAGATTTCTTTTGATGGTGAAATTGTAAAGCTAGAGCTTTTCTTGAAATGATTTACTCTGTTTCATTAGGGTCGTTGTTTTGTCTATATACCTAGAAACCAAACTTTGAGAAATTTAGATGTTGTAATTTAAATGTCGCCGGAAGGGGTGAATTTAGGTGGTGATGGAGCAAAATACTTGTTTGCCATGGAGTGTAATGTCAGTACCTCTTTCTATCTCTAGGTTTCACTATCTTCAAGGCAGACTTCAGGTTCTTCCTTGTCCCCAAAGTTTGAGAGGGAATGATAAGATATCTGAGTCATGTGTAGCTACAGCTGAGCCATGTGTAGCATAGTAGCAGCCATGTGTAGCACAGCAGCAGCCATGCCTAGCTACAGAGCTACAGAGCAACTCTAGCTGCAGCTCCAGCATCAGCTCATTGCAGCAGTCTTAGTCATCCACACAGCAGCTACAGCTGCAGCTCAATGCAGCCTTCTCAGATCCAGCTATTTGTCTGTTAGAACTATGGTTAGTTAACTGTAAGAAAGTGTGGTTGGATTAGGTAGGTAGTAGTTACATTGCATCAGATGTATACATAATGAACTAGAACCCTCTGGGTTTGTTAATGAATGAAATAAAGCTTAGTTTCTTTATCAGCACCCTCATCACATCCTTGTAGGCGAATTAAGGAGTGTCAGTCATGGGTCTGTAACATTTCTCTAATAAAAATTACATTGAGTCAATCTTAGGGAAATGTGTCCAAAATTCCTAGTCTATTCTCTTCTTTCCCTTTCTTGGCAATTGTAGCTAGTTTATCTCCCATATTAGTTTCAATAAAAACAGTGTGGGTAAAAATTTACACCGCACATGCTGTGAGAGAAATATTTTCTTTCTAGATTTGGGTTATGATATATAATAATAAAGATGAATATCTCAAGATCTCAACCTACAAAGCCGAGGTTACAATCTATCCGGTCATATCGTTGACCCAAGGGCACTGATGCTGAACTTAGCAACAATTTTGTGGAGAATGATCAATAACACAAATATTTATGTCTTTTTATTTAAAATTTATTTTCTCACTTTTTTAGATGAAAATTATTATTAGATATTTAAATTTAATTTTTAATATATTTTGGAATCAAATTGATATTTTGAGTACCTAAAATCAGTTGTTGAAATCCTCAATTTTCTCTTGTGCGTTTTGCTGTTCCTCTTGAAATGGATACCTCCACAATATTCTCAAATATTTTAATTCTATTATGATGTCAGTAGACTTGTGAAAATGATAATGTCCAATCCAAGAAATTGGAATCCTTGCCATGATTTATATAGGAAAAAAATGTGTTGTATGGACTTTAACAATTTGCTGCTAAACAACCCGTAATTTACCTCTGCTAAGTAGTTAAAACCATATTGTGGTGTTGAGGCTTAACTTTAGTCGACAAGTTCTTATGGTGCTGCAACTTTGCTCCAGTCTGGCACTCTTAAAATTTGTCAAACTTTAGAGTTGAAAATCATTTGACGAATAGGGGCAATCTTGACAACATCCAACTAAAGATAGGAACGAAATTGTTAAAATGTACAAATTAGTACCCACCTGATTTTTTGAGAATTGGTGAACTTGGTAAAGGGAATTATTTGTCCAATTTATTGACAATATGGATAGGAAGAGGAAGATAGGAGTTATTGACAATATGGAGTTATTGACAATATGTCCAATTATTTGTCCAACTAAAGATAGGAAGAATAGTATATGACAATATGGATCAATTTCAGTTGCCGTGTTTGGTTTCTGCTGTGTGGCACTATATTGGATCTGGAATGTGGCTCATCCAATTTATTCTATAGACATAAGAATGCTATTGTTTTATTTACAATTTGATAATGGTAGTCATTTTAATTTGCTAATGTGACCTTTGCTTTTCATGGACATTTTTCATTATTTGTCCAATTTTAACTGACATTATTTCTCTTTTTCTTTGGTACAGATGGAAACTCGTGCACAAAGCTAAATTATACAGGACAAATTGGACTTTTTGAGTTTTTGGAAGGATTATATATTTTTGTATAGATGTATATGGAAAATATTAGTAGCTAGATATATTTGTACTATAGTTATTTTTGGATACACTACTAGTTATATTTTTGGATGGGTGTGTATAGAAATATTTGGTAGACTACTAGTTATATTTTTGGGTTGATGTACATGGATAAAAATTTAAAACATAATAACAAGTACTTGTTATGTGTTAAATTTTTATGCTAGATGAATATGTAGTTTCGAATTATTTGTGGATGTAAACTTATAATAGTTGCTGACTTTAATTAAACAGGTTCAGAAATGGTGATATATATATTTTGTTGAATGTTGATGATTCAATTTATTTGTTGGTTTGAATGATTTCTTCTGTTTACAGATTATATTGAATAAATTGGATGAATTATTATAAATTACAGGTTTATTTTGTTGTAGGCGACCAAAATTTGGTTATGTTTTTATAGTTTTGGCGACCAATTGATTTGTCGCGAAATGTCACAATTGGCACCAAAAAATATTTTGGTCGCAGAATGTCACAATTGGCGACCATAATTTCTGGTCGCAAAATGTCACAATTGGCGACCAAACAAATTTTCGTCGCAGAATGTCACAATTGGCGACCAATTGATTAGTCGCGAAATGTCACAATTGGCGACCAAACAATTTTGGTCGCAAAATGTCACAATTGGCGACTAAATTTTTGGTGTGAAATGTCACAATAGGCACAAAAAAAATATTGGTCGCAGAATGTTACAATTGGCGACCAAATTTTTTGGTCGCGAAATGTTCAATTCGCGACCACAACAAATTTCGTCGCGGAATGTCACGATTGCGGACCAAAATTTTGGGTCGTTGAATGTGATAATTGGCGACCAAACTTTTTGGTCGGGAAAATATCACTTTTCGCGACCAAAGTGTTTTAGCGACTTCAAAAGTAAATGCGCTACGTGATATATTTAGCGACCAAAAATTTAGTCGCGAAATCCAACTTTTGCCGACCAACCACAATTTTGGTCGCGAATTACTTTTGCCGACCCTCAATTGGCGACCAAAGTAGCGACCAAAAAAATTGGTCGCGGATAACTTTTGCCGACCAAAAATTGACTTTTAGCGACCAATTTTTTTGTTGCCAAAAGTGTTAATTCTTGTAGTGTATGAAACCGTCAAAACTGCTGGAGCCACCCCCACCTCAAACCCATGCAACAAGCCGCCTTGCGCCGCTCTAGATAACAAACGCCCCAACGCCTCCATCACAAAAATGAACAATAAAGGAGATAAATGATCTCCTTGCCGTAACCCTCTATAAGTAGGGAAGAAACCCGCTGGAGACCCATTAACAAGAACCGACATTCGCACCATAGATTTGCAGAATTTAATCCACCTCCACCATCTCTCTCTCCCCAAAACCTAATCTGTACAGCATATACAATAAAAACTTCCAATTGACATTATCATATGCCTTTTCGATGTCAAGTTTGCAAATAAGCCCCTCTTGTCCCTGTCGAATCCTGGAATCCACACATTCATTCGCCACTAAGACCGCGTCTAGAATTTGCTGCTCACCCACAAAAGCATTTTGAGACTCGGAAACCACCCCTTCCAACACACCACGCAACCGATTCACCAACACTTTTGCCAACAACTTGTACACACTACCCAAAAGACTGATAGGGCGATAATCCCGAATATCCTCCGCCCCGCCCTTCTTGGGGAGCAAAGCAATAAACGTGGCATTGAGACTACGCTCAAACTTCCCTATCTAATAAAGCTGCTCAAACATGGTGTCACGACCCAAACCCGCCCCTAAGGATTTAGCATCGTAACCGGCCAGTAATCCGTGATTACCAAAGGCCTGCTTATCGGTAATGAAAATAGTACAAAGTAAGGGACTGGCGGAAGCTAAACAGTAAGTAAAAGATGTCCAATGAGCTGTGAAACTCTGAACGAAAAAAGACTTTTATGGACAAAACCACATTCAACCATATACATTTATACATATCAGATGCACATAGCATATAGGTTAGGGACCTAATTCCTTTACCATAACTGTACAGTCAAGTCTTATTCAGTCAGTACAAAACAGGGACAAAAGGGTGAATCTGAAGCACCCCAAAAACAGCATTGGCTTGAGCAGACTTGGAACCTCGAAGTGAGGCACAACGGTTGGCTGGACAAAATATGAGCTTACCTTGACGCTTCTAGTTTCGGTCCGGTGCCTGGCCACCTACATACATATATAAACTGTGAGCTAAAACCTAGTGAATAACAACTGTGTAAAGAGGTTAAGAATGAATGTCCTTTCAGTAATTAAAATAGTCACTTGCATCAGTAGATCAATTATTCAATCAGTGACTAATAGTTCATGTCATAACAGTCGTTTAGAAACCATAGCAGTCATATGTGGTACATCCAATAGCAGAACAGTATAGTAGGTCTTAACAGATCGAACAGTCAGTTGATGGCCATCAAAACAGTAAACAGTATTGGTTCCAAACATTGGAACTAACAGAGATCTCTGTGACAGTAGTAGTAACAGTAATAGTAACAGTAGGTTGCTATGGATGCCACGAGTACAGTTCATAAAATAGGACAAACATTCATTCAGTAAACAATGTCACTTCAGGAAGCAGTACAGTTGGTCATTCAGAAAATAATCATAATTGAACATATTTTTACAATATTGTTACTCACAGATTACTGGGCTATAGGCAGGCTAATCAGCGTCCTTGGGTGCCAACCCTACACAGTTGCAGAACGAACACACACTAAGTTACACACTCGGGATAATAACTTAGCCCCTATCTTGACTTGGTGGGGTTCTATAACATTATCCTCATTAAGATGCCTTAAAGATGGCCTAGGAATGCCTAGGATGGAATGAGGATGCAAAATGTACTTAACAATATTTTTCAAAACTTGCTGAAAACAGGGGTCTCGCTCGAGCATGGCTTTCTTTGCTCGAGCGTGCTTACCGAAATAGAGAGGTCGCTCGAGCGTAGACTCCCTCGCTCGAGCAGTTTGTAAAAACGGGAAAAGTACTGGTTGCTCAAATTCTCCGCTCGATGCTCGCTCGAGCGTAGGTCTCGTTGCTCGAGCGTACGTCTGCACACGCAAAAACCTGAGAGCTTGCAATTTACGCTCGAGCCAGCATTTCGTCGGTCGAGCGGAGCTCTGAACACAAAGGTGGTCGCTCGAGCATGGAAGCCAAAATTTGGGTTTTCTAGATTTGCTTCCAAAGCTCAAACCAAGAATCAAACATGCCAAAACTCATCATTTTGGGCCAATTTTCTAGAAAACACTCAGAAACTCATAATAAAACATGTTTTGAAGATCATTTTATGAAATCAAAGCCCAAAAGTATGACAATTGAACACCAATTTAACTTCAAATAAAAGAACATGATGTAAATATGCCATGCATGTGTTTATTTGAATTCAAAGCTTCTAACACATGATCAAATGAGCCATTCTTTCCAAAAACATGATGAATTCTTAGATTACAACTATAATTTGGACATGCATGGAAGAATTTCATGCAAAATAACTTCAAAACTCCATGATATGGACATGCATGCATACATTGTTTCTTAATTCAACTCTTAAGGCTATTTCTTGACTCTAACCTCTAATTTTTCCATGAACCATGTTTGAAACAACTTAGATTCATAATTAAAGGAATGAATTTCCTACCTTAAGTCTTGAATTCCAAGTGTGGTAGCTTAAACATGCAATTCTCCTTTAATTCCTCTAAATCTTGAAGCCAATCTCTAAATGGATTCAATTTTCCCCTATTCTTCCTCTCTCTCACGGTTTGGTCTTGAGGAGATGGTAAAATGATAGTGCCAAACATGAAATCAAACAAATGGCGTTGAAAAGGCCCACTAATGGCAAAACTGTAAATAACCCAAGTTAAAGTAATTTAACATTATTAATTCTAATTTAATCATTTCAAATCAAATTTTAATTAAACCTACCATAAAATTCTATAAATCCTAATTAGCATATAACACCAATCAATATCTGAATCGGTCGCCGATAAGGCTTTCAATTCGCAATTCGAAATTAAAACACGAACAGATTATTCAGTAACAAACAGATAGAAATGCATTCTAAACAACACACTCATGCAATCAATTAGGATCTCATCTTAATCAATTACTTATCATGCTTAAACACAATTTAACGCTAATCAGAGGTGAGGGTTGTCACACATGGCCATCACATTTGCCTTCACCACCCCCCAGTACTGCTGAAAAAAGGCTATCGAAAAGCCATCTGGACCCGGAGCCTTATCACCAGGCATACTCCGCAAAGCCGCAAACACCTCATCTTCTGCAAAAAGCCGTTCAAGCATGCAGCTATCTGCCTCTGAAATAACATCGAACTCAACTCCATCTAGACCTAGCCTCCACACCTCCCCCTCGTCCCGAAATAGATGCTCATAGAAGCCCACAATACCGGCCTTAATCTCCTCTGAAGAACACAACTCCGTACCATTTACTTGTAATCCGCCAATCTAATTCACCCTACGATGGGCATTAGCCATACGATGGAAGAAATTGGTATTTCGATCCCCCTCCTTCAACCACAAACATCTAGACTTCTGTTGGAAGCTAATCTCCTCCATACGTGCAATCTGGCCAAACTCCTTTCGAACCCCATCTCGATGAACCAAATCCACTGCAGACAAACCCCCCACAGCCTCTATCTGATCCAACTCCTGCAACACAGCTAACACATTGGCCTTCTAAACCTCTAGGCGCCCAAACACCTCCCTATTCCACCGCTTCAAATCAGACTTGAGAAGTTTCAATTTCTGCGCTAGGCGACAACTCGGCAAGCCAGACACACTATAATTGTCCCACTAACCCTACACCCGATCCTTGAAACCCTCCGACAACAGCCACATATTCTCAAACCGAAACTGCGCAGGACCACTCCTGATTCCCCCACTATCCAATAAGACTGGCCAATGATCTGAAACTGAACGTTGCAACTAGATTTGAGTCACCTATGAGAAATGCTCCTCCCACTC